CTAGCGTGAATTTCTAGCTGATGGAAAGGAGACTTTTGTATTTGATCTGCTGACACTTTTACTTAAAGGTCTTAAGAGTCCTCCCTGGGAGTGAGACTCTTCTCGTTGCTGGCTTATCTAGGGCCTACTGATACAGGTTTTGCCCATTTTTGCCAAGATTATAAATTGGAAATTTGTCCCGAGTGGAAGCAACTTTCTCAAAAGCTCACAGCCAGTGCATGAGGGAGTTGGGAGCGGGAGCAGGTCTCTGAACCCAACCTAGCATTGTGCTCGCATTGTGCTGCTTTGTGCTTTGTTGGGTGAGGCAAACGCTTTCAAGCATCTCTCCCAGAAAAACTGGCATATCTAGCTAATGTCATTTTAAGATAGCCTGCTTTGAGCTGCCTGCCTGTGCTGTCCACCAGATTAACTCTTTTGTAACATCATCAGGGTAGTGTGGTGTCTGGCGATTTGGCATCGGTCACTGGAGGAGATTGGTTTGGCTGCGAGCGGGCAGGCAGAGGGATGGAGGCGGGTTGTGGGGAGTCGGCAGGAGTCGTAAACCCTGGCGGAGAAGATGGTAAAGACACCGGGAGGGCGGTCAAGGCTCAGCCGCCTGTTTGCTCGGATCGCACGACTGCTCTGCGAGGGCTTATTGTTTGAGCTGAACCCTGAGCCTTTGGTTCAGCATAGTTATTGCTTGACTTGATGGGAGGATAAAAGCCTGACGTACAGGCTTTTGTTGACCAAAAATTACAGTTTATCTGATTCAGTACCTGGGTTATCTCTTCTGCTGAGGCAAAAAAGGCAGTTGCCTAAGGCAACCAATATTTTCAGTGTGATTGCAGGTTGTGATTGGTAAACCTCTGTGGGCTTGACTGGCAGGACATAAAAAATTGTGTTGCGTTTTTCAGTGCAGTGCTGGTTGCAAATACATATTCATTTTGCTGATTTTATCCTGCTTTGCCAATGTATGTTAAGAACATCTGTGGTCTCCTAATAAATGAGATGGTAAGTGGGAGCCAGCTTTTCCGTTTTTAAAAATAGTGCTAATATTGGCTTCTGCTGCACGGGAATTTGTCCTGGGTATGCAGATAGAGCTGGATATTGAAAAAGTTTGCTGTAATCCTTTCTTCCCTTGGCTTAACTACTACAGCTGAAGGCTAGAGATGAGGGGGATGAGGAGAAGTGCTATGTAAACCAACCATGTGTCCTTCGCAGGGAGCAGAGTATGAATTCCCTGTTTGGAGGGATGGGGGGAAGCAGTTAACTCAGTTCACGTCTCGGGGATGTGGAACTGCACCTAGGAAAAGCGCTTGCAAATTTACTCTAAGTTGGTCTTCCAGTTTCTTGCAGAAATAAATCCAGTTTGGGTACTAGGGACCCTTTTGAAGTCAGGGGTTCATTCTATCAGTCCTTTGCCTAGAGGTGGTCCTTTCTGAGGTGATGAACTGTCCCTACAAACTGGGATGATTTGAACCTGCCATTTATATTTAATGCTATACTTGTAATTATTTTTAGTGATAGTTGGCAGAAAGGAAACTTTTTGTAAAAGGCTAAGCAGCTGTATACAAAGAAACACAAAAGATTTTTTCTTGGGTGCTATGTAGGAAAAAGGCCTAAATTTAAAATACAAGTATCCTGTGTCCCCCTCTTCTTGGCTTTTTCATCGTTGCTTTTGAGGCTGTTGAAGGTTTTACCCCACAGTCCTCAGCAGCTTCATCCGCAGAACTGTCCATTAATGCTAATCTGTGGAACTGGTTTCCCCTGTCTTGACAGCAGCAAACCCCGTGTTTGGGAAACTGTCATGGGCTGAGCATCAGCACTGTGTCACTGGCCCCCATCTGCCCTCGCTTGGCTTGGGGACAGTGACAAATTGTGACACCAAAGGCTGCGACTGCAGTCAAGCGTGCGCCTAAGCTGCCGAGGAACAAAACCCTAGTTGCCCTCAAGCTCTTTTCCCAACTTGGCTTTGCCAACAAACCCCCAGGGAATAGGAGCAGCCAGTGGAAATCTTCAGCCTTGAGAGATATGTTCCTGAAAGAATGTATTTGGCTAAACTGCCTGCCTGGAGGTCTCGCCACATGCGAGGAAAACTCCGGGTAGTGTTAAGCACCCTTGGTAGTTTTGTACGGGGTGGGAGGGCAGGAGAGGTTGGGTGGTGGGATTTAGAATAGGGAAACATCTTTCTGACCCTTCACCTAAGCCAGATGACCTTCATGTAAGTGAAGAAGGCTGTTTGTTAGTCTGAAAGAAGTGTGCATTTTTACAGTTCTGTCTCACCTGAGAGATGCGAGAAAGGGATTATTTTCTGATTAATACTATGTATTTCAAAAGTAACAAAAGGATATACGTTGTTAAATGCAAAATTGCAGTCTATGCTAGTTCCTGAGATACTTGTTTAGAGATGTACTCCAGATCAAAAACTGTGACTAAATACTTCGAAAGACTGTACTTCTTAATTGTTAGGGATGCACCAGTCTAAAACTTACTTTCCACTTCAGGAAACCTGTAAAACCTGGAAAAAATTTTAAACTTTCTCTTTTTCCACTTTACTTAATGCATTATCAGATTCTTTCATCTGTCACTTTCCTCTCCCCCAGCTAGTGTTCCTCACGCTGTTTGTCCTCCTTCTTGTGCTAGCTTTGTGTCAGAAAGCTCTATTTAGAGGCTGATTTTACTGTAGCAAAATGGTCTTGCGTATGTTCTGCTGCATTTTAGCCGACTGGGAAGTTTTTGTTACCGTGCATGTTACCACTGAACCATTGCTTACCAGTGGAAACTCCTGTAGATGTGTGTGCCATCAGTAAAGCTCGTCTGTGGTGCACGAGCAAAGCTGACGGGGTCTGACGTGAGCTCCGGCAGGAATCTCACCGCGACGGACAGTCTTGGTGTCAGCTCTGCTTGAAAGCTGTGTCTTCTGGTGTTCACCGCCTTCCCTCAGCCGCAAATATAAATGAAGCTGTGGTCTCATTTTATATGTGAGAGATAGTTGGAATATATTCTGAAATCAGAAAAAAATTGGCACATTCTAATGAGCAGCAGTCCTGCCTGTGTCACTGCAACCTGCATCAGTCAAAGCACTGTGAAATGCATATGTAGACTGTAGGCCTGCATCACTGGGAGGTTGATGCAATAAACTAATATAGGAGAAGGGAGACACTTAGCTTCTGTTTCTGTTCATATAGTTTTTTTGTGCATTTGTTCATCTATATAATTGCCCATACCACTTGGTGGGTTATTATTATTATTTTTTATTTAGCTACCAGAGGCTTGGAAACTTCATTATTCTTGTAATCTGCCAGGGCTGGAAAGAAAAGCTTTTTGTCCTATTAGGCTGTTTCAGGCTTCTGTGTAGTTTTTTACTTGCTTTTAAAGATATGAAGAGCTGTGAGTATCAGACTGCCTGAAAAGTGAGGAATAAGCAGAGATGACTCAAGCTCTGTACGTATCTCTGAGCTGTTGCTTGTTTCCATTAACTTCTGACCAAAGTGATAGTGCTTGAAAGCATGCTCACCCCTTCACTTGACTAGACAAGGTGGATAGTCTCTTTCGTCACGTGGTGACAGAAATAGTCCTTTCTTTGATTAAACAAGCATCACAAATACTGAAAGCAAAGGTGGTAGTCTTATTTTTCAAAGAGCAATTCTTCAGGTAGATAAGCTTAGTAGATTCTTAATGTTTTTTGGACACCGAAAATAGATTGGGTTGAGAAGTGTTGGCATGTATCTAAATACGTTATGACTCAAAATGACTGTATATCAGTCAAATTATAATCCATTGAGTCTCATAAATGCCTGCAGAGAGGTGATGATGCAGGAAATATTCTTAAAGCAAGTAAGCCGAGTGTGATCCTTGTCTCCTTGCTTTCTTGTGCTGTTAATAAAGTGATACTGCCTTTGTTACAGAAGATAACCCTCTTCATGTTTTGAAGACAGTTTGTAAAGGACGAAGCCTGAGATGATTAAACAGTTTGGGGAGTATTGTTCCCATGTCCAAACAATGGATTTCTGTGTTAATATAGAGTAAAAATCATCAGTCTTACCTTAGTCAAGGATATTTTTGAAAGTCTGTGTACTATTGAGAATTAACTGCAACAGTGTTCTTGTTTAATTTTTTATCGTGACATTTAAAGCCCAGTTGAAGGCCACTGTGGAGTCATAGGCAGATGAAGATGCTTGAAGCACAGAAGTCTAATGGATACAATTATCATTGTAGTGTTCTTTGCAGTAGTTATTGAGGCTATTCAAAATGTTAATTGGACACTAAGTTTCATCTCTAGAGAAAATGGCTACTAAATGTTTGGGTGACGTTCAAAATACACCTGATACTAGTTGCTATGAGAATATTAATTGCTACACTTCACAGCACATTGTACCAAAGATCTGTTATCTGATGAAGGAAATGCAAAAAAATTATATACAATGATGCCAACTACCAATTAGAATGTTTGATAGTTTTAATTAGGCATTTAGATTTTTTCTACCTTCCATGTAGTTCAGTTTGTGCTGGTAGGCAGGAGATAAATCAGGGGTGGGGAAATAAAACTCTTGTCACAGAGGTCAGCAAATAGAGTGCGGTAAAGTTTTTGCATGTGTACATAAATGGGAAACATGGAATGCTTGTTGCTTAATCCTCTGGCCTCCCATTGATGTCTTTATGGCAGAAATTCATTTTATAGTCAATGGGTAGTTATGGTCTAAAAAGTACAGTAAATCCAGCAGACTGTGCAAAGTTTCATGCATGTGGAAATAAGAGGATTAAACAATTTTAGTACTTTTTTTTTGCCATAATTGAAAAACTATGCCTTCTTAAGCAGAAATACTGCTTGCAAAAACAAAAAAAGACAGGCAATTTCCCTTCAGCATTCAACCTCCTAGAAAAGCCTCTTTTCTTCATAAAAGGCAAGAAGTGCCAGCCAAAATAACTTTCACAAGAAGGGAAGGAGTCACGTATGTGGGAGCCGTATTTATCTAAGCTCAAGTGATAAAATGTGATTAACTGAGATTGGAGCAACCGTCATGTACACTAGAAGACCATCGAGCAGGAAGTGGGCGATTCTTTTGGCATTTACTTCAGGTGTCTGGTCCCAGGACTACAGAGGGAAGGTAATGTGCCTTTGTAAAATGTTCTACTATTAGTAAAGTGTGTAATTGCTCTACCCACTACTTGCTGTCTACTCCAAAATGCTATCTCAGAGTCCTGAGACTTCGGGGACAGCAGAGCTGTGCTGAGGCAGTTCTGAAGATGCTCCTGAAATTGATTTTTTTTTTGTTTGTTTGTTTGTTTGGGTTTTTTGTTCCAGTTTATGTATGGAAGCAGATTATAAGGACCGTGGGACTCTCAGATTGAAGGTCAGCATCCTTCCTTTCCCCTTGGCACTACCATCCCCCAATGGGTAGGGGAGCAGAAAGACATAGTCGCTGCCATTTTCTGCTGCCGGCTTGCAGACCCAAATGGGCAGCTGCTCATCCCTGAATGCATAATGCTGCTCTGGAGAAAGTCAGTTAACCCACCTTCTCTCAGGTGCACTTCTTTCCCTTGTTTGACACCATGGAGCCACACAATTTTTAATTTATGCGTTACAGGAGGGAGGTGTGTAAGGGCAGGTAATGCAGCAGAAGACTCCTTTGTCCCTGCTGCAACCACCGTCCATTCAGCAGTCACAGAGGGACATATTTCTTCTGTCCAGAAATGCATTACTCAAAATCTTTTCTTTGTAAGAATGAATTTTGTACTTACTGATATAATGAGTATTTCAGAGGAATGGTAAATTTTTTTCTGTCTTTTCGTCCTGGTAGAGGAGGACTCCTCTGTGTTTTAAATCTTTCTTTTCTAATTGTTGTGCTGATTACTTCTGTATTCTGTGGGGCATTTTATTTCAACACTCTGAGAACTGCAGAGATTGTATTTCTTAATCTTTGTGTGGTAAATAAAATCTGTCCTAACCAGATAAGTTTATCTCTGTTTAAAATATACATGGGTTGTGTGTGTTTGTGTGTGTATATATCTCCAAAGAAGACGGAGGTAAAGGAAGTATGGTGATTTAATTGGTCCCAAAAACCCCATTTAAACTTGTACAGTAGGTGGTATGATCATATTTTGTGGCTATTTGAGTCTGGAGTAAAGGAACTTTTTCTCAGTTGAAATATTTCCCCAACCCGTGACACACACTCTGCTGGGAAAAGGTGGGTATTCTAAGCTGATTGATGGGTAAACGGAAGGAGAAGTATATTGATGTCACGATCTTGCCATGTAGAAGTGAGAAATCCAATGTAAAAGTGGAAGGTTCTGGCTGCTTCACTAGTTATTTTGAAGATATTTTTATTTGTGTTTGTGTATTTGTGTATAAGATACAATATAACTGATTGGTTATGTAGAGATGCAGTATAATTTAAAGAGTATTTTTTATTAAGCAGTTGTCCCTCGTGTTTAAAATACTATTTTCTTTCTTTTTGTTCTCTTACTCTGTAGGTGATTCCAAGTTTTGTTTGCTGTATATGTAAAACCCACTGGATGTTGTATCATTCTGCCGTCTTGTACAATACATTATGAAATTTGGAGGCAAGAAGTAATGTATTTTAGGCTGCTGTATTGTCTTATATTAGGAGACAATCTTGCGGAGCTGAAGGATAATTTTGAGAATTGGTTGAAGAGTAATGTGTATATTGGTTTGCTATGAAGCTTTTGTTTACTGCTGGTTATTAAACTACATGACTGAGAGTTTTTATTTTTCTTTAATTAAGTGGCAGTATCTTTGGATGGTGTTGGCTGAAAGTAGGAAATATCTCCTTCAGCTTCCCTTCAAGGAGAGTGATGCAGGAATAGAAAGATCCTAGTAACAAGAAAAGAGAAACACGTTTTTTGGTGGTGTGATGAGAACCAGGTAAAGAAGGCTGAAGAATTGGGTCAGAAAGCTTGATGCCATCCTGGGGGACTGGGGTAAGGGATGTTGCCTCACCACAGCATGTCCCCTTTAACCAAGGGGCCTGGCAGGAGCAGAGGAACCTGAGACAGAGTAAGTTTAAAGAAAAAAGAAAAAAAAAAAAAAGAACACTTTGCATAACGTTGCAGTTGTATCTAGTGGTGAAGAGAGCTCAGGAGGACTCAGCTTGAACCCTGAAGAACTTGCCAGGAAACTGTGGAATGTGAGGCAGGGGTAGGCTTTATCAGGTTTGGTTTAGCTAATAGGCCTGGAGAATCTTTTGGGCTAGATTGCTAATTACGTGGACACCTTAGCGCTGCATGTCCCTGAGGAGGGAGCTCGGGCGCAGCACTGGGAGCATGATCGTGCAGAGCCGAGCAGCGGCCAGGAGAATGCCTGCGCCGGGCTGGCCAGCGTCTTTGCCATCCAAAGGGGTGGTGCTCAGAAAGGAACGGCTCTCGCCCTGCCGTCACTGTGACACGTGGTGCTGATGCTGTGCTGTCAGGACTTGCAGAGTCACTGTCCTTCTCAAGTCGCTGGGACTTATAGTTGCCAACATATCCTGGTTGGCAAGTTCAAAAACCACCGTGGGCTTTTCTGCACTACAAAACAGTCTTTTTATTAGTAAATACTCTTGCTGCGGAAGAATGGTTAACTTTATTTTTCCCTGAGTGCAGTAGAAGCCTTTTCAACGAATAATACAACATGTTTGAAGCTTTGGAGAAAGATCTTTTGAAGATGAATGATTTTTAATTATGGTGTTTGTGGTGCATAACAGCAGCTATCTGTACTCATCTTTTATTGCAGAATTATATTTCAGGTGGATCATATGGTGAAATAAGAGTGGGTTTTGTTTTTCTTTTCAAGAAAAAGAAAAATGAATTCGTTTTTGTTTCTGTGAGGTTCCTGAGAACTTCTAACGAGAAAGGCATAGTTGAGCATCCTATCTGACAGTGTCTGGCACTGGAGACCTTACAGGACCGTGCAGGAATTCCCAAGTCTGCAGGTTGGGATAAACTGCCCTTCAATGCAGGTCTTGCTCTGGCTGCCAGGACAGCGTTCGTGCTAGGAAATACTACTGAAGAAAATGTTGGCTTCAGTGCTTGTCCTGCATTTGTGCATGTTGTTTCTTAGCATGTCCCCAGCATGGCTGTGGCCTGTGCAATCTGGCAGTTTTCCAGACGGTACCCGGGAGCAGCTGGGCAGCTTGGATGCAGACACTCAGTTCTGGGAGAGGATGAAGAGAGTAGCCCGTGCCCCTTGGCTCCTAGGCTGGAGAAGGACCAGCTGTATGTAGTAGTATGGGTGTAACCCAGGAGCAGGCTTGCACAGTGGAGCAGGTGCAGAGTTTGCTGCTGCCCAGCTGGGGCAGTCGTCGTGGTTCCCCTTCACAGGGCTCAAGGTCTCCAGCCGCCTTCTGGGCTCGCTGAACTTGTGGAAACCATCAGGAAATGGATCTGATGAAAACCAAATGGTATTAGGGGGGGTGGTGGTGTTTGTCTGGTGGGTGAATGAGCAAAAAGTTGGAGTGATGGACCTGGTGCCGGGAGAGGCAAAACCTTGAAGCAGAGGACGGGTCCAAATGTGTTGACAAGCTGCCGTTGGAGTCTTTTGCAGCATGGAAGTCATAGGAATGGATGTAAATGTTGGAGAGGGAGCTTTGGGGCACCTTCCAGCCTACAGTTAGGGGAAGTTTGCATTTTGTCTATCAGGCCATTCTGTCAGACTCCTAAACAGATTTTTATTCTTTGAAGTCCAGATTTAACTTTTAAAATACTTATTTTAGTATACTTTCTGTAAAGGAGCGGATGGAAGCTGCGCACAGACTTACCAAGCAGAAGACTTTTGGTCTCAGCCCCACATTCTGGCCCACCCCGGGTGTGGGTTTTGCAGGTTTTCAGTCAGGAGAGAGGCATGTTCTCAGATGGGTTAGAGGGAAATTTTTTGGTTCCCCTCCTTCAAAACATGTGCTGCCTTTACTTCTCCCACCCCAGCTAGCATGGACGTTGGTCTCCTTGGGATGTGTTGGTGAACACGGGACAGCCTGTGCACTTTGAAGATCCTGGCGCCACCTCTTTGCGGCTTTTCCCCCTAACAACTGTCTCTTGATGCTTCTCTGGAGGCATTTTGTCGTTGGCAAATGATTTGCAAATCCTTTGCTGCCACTTGTTGATCATTTTGAATTGAGAGCAGATTAATGATTGTTTCTCTAGTGGCAGTGTTGGCCTCTTAATAACAGTTATCCCGCTTTCTTGTGCCTGTCTAAATATCATGCGCTCAGATGACTCCAAAGGAACATATCGGGGTAGTGTGCAAATGTCTAAATATAGCAATAATAATCTCTAGCATTCTTCTTTTCAGTCAGCAGAAGAAATTACTGCATACACTTCCATTTGCATGGAGTACACACTGAGATAAGTCTATGTTGACATCTGTTTCAACACTAATTTCTGATGTCTCCCTGGTACTTTCGGAAGAGGAGAAATTCTTCTTCTGTAAAATCTCTGAACTTGTCTTCCCTCTCTGGTTGTGGGTTGGGTTTTTTCCCTGTTACGCCAGAGAATTACACAGTTTTCAGCCCCTTTCCAAACTGCCAACTTTCTGCTCCACTGAAGTTACTTCTGGCTCCAATCCCAGTATTTTGGGGGAACAATAGAGCCTGTTTTAGCCTATACAGATTTAATTGCTGTGAATAAGGTTGACAATTATCTCCTTTTGTGTCTGAGAGTCCCACCAGCTGTTTTAGATGCATTTAAATTGCTGTACCATGCTAAACTCACTTGTCACATCAGGAGCTATAATGCCAAATTTCAGGCACCTGGTAATCTGTCCTCGGCCTTTATTTTAAAAATAATTTTTGCTGCATTTAATTCTGTTTCTTCTACTTCCCCTTCAACCTTGGTTCTCTGCACTGGGTGGCATTATTAGTCATACCAAGGGACTTCTATACCAAAGAGGCGTTTTGAGGAAAATGCATTTCAAATAGCAAGAAAACCTATTGAAAGATAAGTTGTTGGGCTTTTTTGTTGGGTGGTGGTTTTTTGGTGTTTGGTTTTTTTTTTTCCTCCTTCCACCCCCATAAGCTCAGGCACCTAAGGTGGGAATCATTTGACCACATGCTGACAACCTGCTGTGTAAGCTTTATTGTCCACAAAGAGGAACAGACATTTCATGCTAATGTAAACAACTAAAATAGGTCAGATGAATCATGCCCCCAAATGTCCTCTTTCTCTTTGCTTATAAATAAAGTCTGGGTGATTAGCTCAGACTTAGCTGTCTGCACCATAGATGTCTGACTAGATCTCACCTCTGGGGACCATACTTGTAGCAGCAGTCACATGTAGGTGACTGTAGACACATGTCGACACCTAAGAAGATTAAAAGTACTTGGCTTCTTGATGCAGAGTAACTGCAAGTGCCAAGGTGAAGGTGCTCTGGGCTTGACTTCTCGAAGTCGAAGGCAAACGTGAGTGGATTTTCCCAAGGAAGAGATAGATTCGTGTTTGATGTCCACAGTTACATAGCACTAAACTGTGGTGCACCATCTCTTTTTCATTGCTAGCTTCCTAGACTTGTAAGATACAACTTAATAACCTTTTTTTTCCCCAGAAATGTTGGTTTAAGCAGGACCTCTCCTCCCTATCATCTGCTATTTCTTCCTCCATATTGTCTCTTCAGTGTTGCTGTGGCAATATGTTGATTTGGGTTTTAAAAAAAAAAACAAAACCAACTTCGCTGCACAGGTGTTCCTGTGGGGCAGCACACTGGCATGTGAAGGTGGAGGTTGCTTACACTGGGGAAGGCCAAGAGAGGGGATACTTGTGAAAGTTCGCCTTTCATCCTGTGCCTGAGAAGTTGGATCTCTTGCTAATTTTCTGAATTGTTCAACTGTTGAATTCTGCAGGATTTTCTTTTCAGGCTGCACACAGCTTTGTTTAATGTTTATTTACAATCTTGTCAAGGGGTTAATAAATTCAAACTTCCAGTTTCAGTCACTGCCTTAGTGCGTATTTCACATTTGTGCAACTGTAATTACAATTTCTAAAAACAATTTGTTTCTTGGTGTAGCAGGATTCAGGGACACGCTAATACTTTATTATTTCCTGATACATATTTTTACAGATCTTGGCATGATTTTAATTTCCCAGTGGTCTGAGAGCAGTGGGGAGGATTACGTACAAGTTACAGTAGTCATTTGGTTCTGGTGTTGACTTTATTCTTGCTGAGACCTCATGCCACACAGGATTCATCCCATCAGTGCTGCTTAGGTCTGTTTGTGCTGGGCTCCCCCATCTCCTGTGGGCCTCTTCGGACACAATCGACTCTCCTTAGTTATAGCTCTTCTTAAAACACTTGATGTTGGCCCTGCTTACTATGTTTGTGCTAAGTATTTGGCAGTCTGTAGGTTTTCCAGTGCGCCTGGATGCGTTTGCAAGTGAAGACTTGGATTGAGGTTTCATAGGAGCCAGTGGTTCTTTTGCCATTGACTTTGGAAGGGGTAAGATTCATAATGGAGGCAGATTTGCAGCACAAGTAGAAGCAACAGTAGTGCTGGAGAAGCATGACCTGGTAATAGCTGTGCAGTTGCTCCTGCTCCCATTCAGACCAGAGCTGGGTCCCAGCCCAGCACCATTCACTGTTTCAGGCTTCACAGGGTGGCAGTGAGCAGGTCTTGCTCTGTGCCAGATCCTGTGCACACACCAGGTAAGGCAGGCCTCTGTTCTTTGTGCTTTGCTTCCTCTGTGTTCCCATATGGACACAGTCTTGGACAACCTGCTCTAGGTGACCCTGCTTGAGTAGGGGGGTTGGGCCAGATGACCTCCAGAGGTCCCTTCCAAGCTCAACCGTTCTGTGATTCTCTGGTATTGCACCTTCCAAAACTGCTCCTTAACCTTGCTGTGCCTCCTCTGCTTTTGGGTGGAGGCACATCTCTTCGTCCCACCCCCCTGCAAGGGTAGCAGGAGTCTATGCGGACAATTTGCCCTGAGGTTCAGCGCCGGTGCCTACACATGCTCACGTCCACGCCATCTGAGGTGCAGCGGGACTGGTTGTAGCACACCCCTAAGACATGTGGTGGCATACCATGGTAGTAGGTGATGTGCAGACCCCAGAGCTTGAGTACCTGCCCTCTGGATAAAGGTAGCGGATGGGGCTGGAAAGGACACCAAGCCCTACGCACACGCACAGACAGCCACTCATTTGCTCACTGCTATATGCCTGCTCTCGGGCAGAAATTCTGCATTTGGCTGTGATCCTTCTTTTTACTGGTACTGATTTTACCAGGGTCCCTATGTTGACTTTGTCTCCAAATCATCATTGCACTTGACATTTTGCATCTGTGATGCCTGAACAACTGAGCAAAGATATTAACCACTTGGACCTATATTACATGAAAAATAGATGTTTTCAATGACATAACATTTAAATGAACTTTGAATAGCTTGCGAGAGAAATACCTAGTATTTTGTACAGGG